ACAATTCTCTGGGTCCTCCACTCATTATGCACTCACATATTTAGCAACAGGTGTGAGAGGTTCTCCGATCAATAATATCTGAGGACAAATAAACACTTTTAGGACAAAGTACCAGAGACAGAAAAAGAAAAACACCATTTGAAGTCTCGAACAACAAAGGACGCTTGAATCTAGAAAATGGCGACTGGTGTTCATCACTATCTCAATTCCTCTGGCAATGTGGTGCCGGTGGATGTAGATCCAGGGAAGATAAGTGAGGGGAGGGGTTCCGTGTCTGCGGCCAAAACTTAACTTGTTTGCAGATTCACTATAACAGCTGTACAGAAACAGCATTCTCATTATTATATAACTACATTATATTTCTAATCTTTTTTAATCAAGCTCCAAAACCAGTGATTAGAAGTTATTTATACAGCATCATGTTTTTTGTTTCAGCCCTGTTACTGTGGATTTTATCAGAGTAGCTGTGGTTTTTAAGTCACCTTCTTCCAAAGCGATTAGAATTTGCTTGCATTTTCACTTGTCAACACAGGAACTTTGAAGGTGGAACTGGTCCTTCTTGTTCAGCTGCCTTTTACCCTGTGTTCTGACCCTGTTTAGATTTTTCCACAAGTCAAGTATTTTTTATTCCAGACTCTTAGTCGAATTCACAGGGGTAGAAAAACACTTTACAGGTAAGATAAAATTAAATGAGCACAATATGACATGTACATTGTTTTTATGTGTGTTTCACAAACTAGAACAAACAATTTTAAAATATACCCAAGTAAGATATTAAAATGCTGTGTGAATCATAGAATACGGCTAGAGAGACTACACTACCTCTAAACAAGTTCCACCTGTCCACTCGTTTGTTTCTTAAAGACTAGAGATTGAAGTCAGTGCTCATCTCATGTTGAACCACAGAAAAGCACTGCTACACCAGTTGAAAATGCGTTAAAAATTGCTCTCATCAAGTAGCCTGGCCTGCCAGACTCACCCTCTGTCTATTCTACATAGGACATAAGAGGACATATGGAAGCATCGGCATGGCTGGCCAGGCTCATCAAGCTGAAGAAGACGACTCTAATTAATTACAGAGTCATCAGCAAATTTTAAGATAAAATGATCCTCAAATTCTTGCAGTCACTGGTATACCAAGTGTGTCATGGCTGTGGATTTGTGATGAAAGTTGCATTTAGTTTCATATGTTTGGTCTGTTTTCTCATGTATTTTCAGCTTTATCCTCTGGTTCATTGCTTCTTTCAGTTCCCCTTGGTAGCCCAGCCTCTCATCATGTCTCAGCTACTAATTATATCACCATGCTCCCCATCTAATAATCGGACTACCAAAGTACATTTTGTTCTCTCTCTTTATTCTCAGGCCCACCTGTCTTCTTTGTTAGATCTTTTAAATTTAATTGATTAAACCTTTTGACCTGTTTTGTGCTGCTGTTTTGCCTACTACCTTGGGTCCCTTCATGCATTATTGTAAATGAAAGGCAAAAAGGGCACGGCTTTGGGGGGATTCAGTAAAAAGTGTTTCATCGTGTAGGGTTCTGCAAATTGAGTGCTTTAAGAGCTCAATAAATATATTACCTCTACTTATGACCACTAAGCTGCAGTGGCACTGCCAGGGGGCGCTATAGATACCCCTGGATTAGTCATTGCACCCCCAAAAAAATATTAGATTTTTTTATTAACGTGTGGATGTGATAATATTTAACATACAAAACAAAAATAGTCAGTAAATTATCATATAGATAGTAAAAACTTAAATCAAAACAGGAAATTGATGTTAACCTTTGACCTCATTTTCCACCTGAGAACGAGTGAAAGGTAGAGCTAGTGGTAAAATGGATCGGTTTTTGTTGCCCAAATTTCCACGGGTTCAGTCAGAAACGAATGAATCTTTGGAAGGGATCTCAGACCCACAAAAACCTACGGATCTGGATGAAGAGAGTCAACCCTCAACCGCCGCAGCAGTCGAGGGTTTTGCCACTGGAAATGCTAACACTAACGTTAGCTAACCTTGCAACACTATAGATGGTTTTCTGTGTGGCTGTATGTGTTTATGATTTCATGGAAAAGTCAGCGATTGTTCATATGTTTATGATGTAAATTAATGCTTGTTTCAGGTGTTGTTGAGGTTTTGTGCACGCATGTGTATCTGCTAGTGTTGAAGGTGTTTTAGAGAACAATAGGTACGCATGACCACTTCCTTCATTGCACCCTCCATAAAAAGACTAGCTCCTTCATAGCACCTGCAGAAAAAAACTCCTGGAGCCGCCACTGCTAAGCTGTGATACTCTATTTAAATGTAAAATATCAACCCTGCTTGGTCTTTACATGTTTAATCAGAAGATCTAGTATTTTTGCTTTATCAGGGGATTGTACACACTTCATTTTGATTCAGAAAAGTCAGGTTTATAAAAGTAAGAATTTTTCCAACAATTAAAACATGAGTTAGCTAAGCACTTACTGTGATGGATGGAACCGCGCGTCTGGGACTCTTAGGAGTCTAAACAATATCAGCTTGTTTGCAGGAACTGTCACAGGTGCAAAAAGGTTTTGACGACGTGTCAAAATCTTTGATGGGTTAAAGAGGGTTTGCTTCAGATGGCCGGTCTGAAACTTTCTGTAGAACTGCAGAATCACCCAGGGTGATCCAGTTTTAAGGTTTTGATGTTATGATTTGCACAGCCAATCAAAGGCTGACAGGTTTGAGAAATGTTACCAAGAATCTCAGAACACGCCTTCTTTGATACCAGATGTTCTGTTCATGTTTATGTTTGTTCATTTAGCAGACTGGGTAAAAGACTATTTATGTGTCAGAGTTTAACGTAACCTTACTTGTTATGGTGTGAGTGCAAATGTTATGACCTTTGCCATATAAACATGCGGAACCACATTGCAGTCATTGTAGACATAACATTCATTTCACACTTCAATCATTGAGCACAGATTAATGAAGCATTTCATTATAATATAATTATTATAAGTAGCAATAAACAAGCATTTATTTAATGATTATCTAGATTATAAGTCGTAGAAGAAGTTCATGTTTAATTTAGGAAATCATTCTTGATTTAGCAACTGATCCAAGCTGGAGTGTTCCTTATGTGGAGGCAAGAAGAAAGATTGGACCTTGGGGGAGAGAAAGTTATTGTTGACATCTCATCATTTGTTGTCAGAGCTGCAGAGTCTCTGAGCTCCAGCTGGTATGAAGGCAGGCTCAATTAAAGGGAACACATGCAGTCTTGTGTCTCCTGTTTGACCAGATGTTGAATAGATGTTGAATGGTCAAACTGTACCTAAAACTGACAATTGCTGGATGTTACAATTGTGTCTTTTAAAGGCACACTTGGCAGTTTTGCTTGCTTTCAGCACCCGTGTCCATTTAATAGAACCAAAAGCAAAACTTGTCTCCTCGCAGTGCCTTTGTCTTTTTTAACACCTTAAAGTATCTTTCTGGAGTATTTCTCTTATCCGATGACACCATCTATTGGCTGACAAGCATATCACACAAATAGTCAGCCGATCCATTTTTTTTAGGTGGTGACTTCAAGTTTCTTGTTTCTGAATGTGCTTCTGTAGCCGACAAACAGAGCTAAAACACATTGTTTTACAAGTATCATTCTCATGTCATGTTGTGTTTTCATATATTTATGTTTTTAACATTTACTTGTCCGTGAAAAGTTCGTCAACTCTGCATCAGTCGAGGTAGATCCTTAAATTTGAAACACGTAGTCTAACACTACTGGATAGTACTGGTCGGCGTTCAGTTTTTTATTGCATGGAGCTCTGCGGGACAGGAGGCGTGCTTAGCAAAACAAACATACCAAAAAAGACGTAATGCTTACATTATATCATAAGATAATCACTTTTATGGATTTCTGAAAAATCATACATAATTTCTGAAAGGGGAAAACTCCGGGAAGCTACTTTAATCAAACACAGCTGAAATGTCTCCCCAGCCTTCATTAGTGTCTACAGGAGCGGTTCATCACTAAATTAAACAAATCAGCTGTGTTCATGATGTAAAACATGCAGGAAACATGCTGGAAGCAGACTGAAGCCAAGTATGTCAGCTCCATTTTTTCTTAGTCCAACAGACCGGACCGACACTCTGAAGTTACAAATGCAGTATTCTGGCCACAGAGGGCAGTGGGGATCTAAGTGACATTTCGTTAACCCTGTCATTTAAGCACATACTGGCTCAAGAAAATGATTTAAAAATATGAAAAAGTTGCATAGTATGGTTTTATTTCAAGAGAGGAATGGGATATTTCTCTTTAATATAGGTGTGTGCTGCTAGTTAGTGACCGTAACTGTTCTCCCTCTGGATTTGCCAATATCACCCCCCAGTTGGTCATCATGTCAGATGGCTTTTAAAGAGGAATTTTCCTCTCCACTATCACTACATGCTGGCTTAGTTAGAGGATTGCTAAATCCACTGACACAACCAGTCGTGGCTTGATGCAATCTGCTGGGTTTCCTTACATTGGAAACTTTTAACTAACTTGCATAATGAATTGAACTCAGTACACTAAATTCAACTTGGAATGTTGTCTTGTGAACTGGCGCTATATAAATAAAATGAATTGGATTGAAATTTACATAAAAAACCCAACAATTTATGTCTATGTAAAAACACAACTTCTAACATGTGTAATCCATCGAAATATGAACAATTAGTAAACTATGGATAACAGGTTATAAAGGATTTGGGACGCCATCCAGGGAAGGCCAGAAGTGAGGTATAAATTTGTACTGTTGTCAGAAGACAATCTGTGTTTGATGGGTAAAGAAAATCTGAATGTATTCCCAAGGTTTTGCTGTTTTTCCTAAATCGACAAATTATTTACTGTTTTATACTTTTATTCATTTATATGACGCATTTCGGATATTTTTGAAAAATTACACGTGTTGTTGCAGAGTTGGGTTTTTTTCCGAGGAGAACCTGAAGGCAGCACGGGGAGGTGTTCAATGTAGCCGTCACTGCGTCGCGCTTGTGTAGCCCGGGTTCTCCTCCTCCTCCTCCTTTTCTTACATGTCCTCCTCCTCCACCTGCTACAGCTGCAACGTAGAGATGGAGACCTTCCGCATATTATTACTGTAAGCTCACGGAAAACCACCTGGGAGAGGAGGAACGGGAGAAACCAGGGAGGGGGAAGCAAAGGAGGTGCTTTTACGGCTGAAGGGGAGGCAGAAAGGCTCTGACAGGCGGAAACACTGAAACATATGGTTAGTGTGCAGAGGCTGTGTGACTGAGGGCTGCTGAAGCGGACAGAAACTTGTTCAGTCAGCTGAGAGGTGCATTCCAACCTGAACATCTCATTTTTAACACTTGGTTGGCTTGCTATTTTGCGCTCACCTGTGTGATGCTTTTTTCACGCACACCTCTGTTTCATTAGTTGTGCGGGGTGGACTGCGGTCATTGGACGTGCTTGAACGCGCGCGCGCACACACACACACACACACACACACGCTCACAGCCCATCACAAGACAAGCTACAGTCCACAAAAGCTTCTCACAGGGAGAAAATCAAATTAGCCTGTTTATTCCATCAGAAGAAGCTTCTACTTTTTTTTATTCTCCGCTGACTGATAGTTCCACCGAGGTCCGGTCTTTGTTCTGATCTGCTCTCACGGTTACCGAGCCATGTCTGGAAACACGGTGACCATCCCGGACGACAGGGCGTTCGCCAGCTTCAAGGCGGAGTGTCTGTGTGAGGAGGGCTGGAGTTTGACCTGCAGCAAGGGGGGGATCACGGTGTGGACTCAAGGTCTGGAGGAAGGGAAACCCGTCCACAAAATCAAGGTAAGGCTCCTTTAACCAGACAAATTAGTTTTTAGAATATAATCATGCACATATAATGAAAAGTGCATTAATTAGTTCTTCATTTGTAGGCAAAGTTGCAGGAGAGATAAAACCCTCATGCATGGAGCTTTGCCTAATGACATTCTTTAACCACTGTTTTTACTGCATGGTCCTTTGCAAGTCCCTCTCCAACTCACTAAAATCTGACTTTCTGTGGGTAAAGCTGTAAATTGCCTCACTTTGATCACATGTATGGTCACTGTACAGAGCAACAGATAAGCATCCAAACACATCCTGTTTTGGTGTGGATTTAAGCTGAAAGACCCCCCCCCCCCCCCCCCCCCCAAAGGGATAGCTTTATTAAAAACACAATGGAACATTTAGTTTAATATCGGTTTACTTAGTCACTTTGCACATAGAGGAAGTAAAACTGAACAGACAATAGACATGACGATGATCAAGTTGATTGGTCACTGGAAAGGTAATAACAATAAAAGTTCTAAATTTAGGTTTGATTCAGGTTACCTTTTTCAAGTAGGCTTTTTAGACTTCCTTTTTAACAGGATTTTATAAATTAAGCTGCAGTATAGGGCTTCTGCAAAAACAACTGCAGATCTGTTACAGACAGTACATTCATGCCTCTGGCAAATGAGTTCACACAGTGCTGATTAAGCATATCAGTACTTTGCAGTACACCAGAGTGCAAAATATGGTGTCTCTAGTGTTATTCTTGCTCTACTGCACAAACAATGGAATATTTCTTTCAACTAGCAATCACTGGTTTGGCATAGAGGGAAGCAAACTGGACAAAACAGTCATTTTTTTAAACTAACAAAGTGTTAATGAAAAATGTGGCTAGAAAAAAAGCATTTTTAGATTCAGTGAAAGTCTACAGTTTTGTATGAATTTGTAAATCTTCATTTTTTAGTCGTTATCTTTTTATACCTTTTTTAAACCTATTAGTTTGACATTTTTATGCTTTGAATTACATCTGTTGGTTGAATCAGCAGTAAAACAACCAGATGGTTTTGTGGTCTTGCCTCATTTATTAACTCAGCAGCTATGGAGGTGCAATTAATCCAAGTTACATTTCAGTTGCATTGAAACAATATAAAAATTACTATGTCCCATTCCCTCTTTGCAAACACACTTTTACTGTGACATGCTGTTTGAATGATTCTGCTCCTTCTTAAGGCTAAACTCAAGCTCAGCTTGTGGTCATTAACCCTCTGGAGGCAGGCGTTGCAGATTTGCAACGTTAAAACCTACCTACCTGGTTACTCCACATACGTATTTCATGAGCTTTTTTAAACTCAGAATTACCCCTGAATGACTTAGTTGTTTGTCCTTTTATCAGAACTTATTTGGAGCCTGAGAGGGTTTAAAAAATCAACACAGTATGATTTGTGCCAGTTAATATGCCTCTGTTATTTACATTTTCACCACCACACACTCTGTCATAGAGTCCAGTGATATTTCCATATTGTTCTAATTCCAAGCATTCACACTTCTGAAAAAAACTTTTCTCATCACTCGCGTCCTGTTTAACTAGTGAGTCGCTGTCAAACGTGACACTGCTGCCCGTTTTGCCCACTAAACAGTTAGACTATGCCATTCACTGCCATGAATTGGTATCTGCAGTCCTAAAAGAATGACTTCTGGATGTTTAGGTCTTCACATTATTAGAAGACTTATGCCATTAAAATTTTGTGTTGTAATCCAAGTAAATAGCTCTGATTATATTAAATAAAAACATACATATATAGTAATATATCACACACACACACACACACACACACAACGCACGCACGCACGCACGCACGCATGCACGCACACACACACACACACACACACACACACACACACACACACACACACACACACACACACACACACACACACACACATATTTTATATAGACTTTCAGTGTGCCCCAGGGCAGCTGTGCACAACATGCTAATGTGTATGATTGGCTAGAGGTAGCTGCTAGTGCTAGCAGCTAGCTTGCGCTGTCCCTAAGCAGTTATTGCATATATTCTCACTCCTCTGCTTGATCAGGAAGCTTCCGAATAAATGTTTTGCTCTGAACTTTGTATATGGCTTTGTGGTTTTTAATTATTTGAGGTCGTTCGTTTTTCGGCAAGCCTTTTAACCATGGTTGCCAAGCAGAGTTGTGTTTGTTGTTTGTGTGGAGAGATGAACCAAACCCCGCCCACCCCCACGTAGTCAGGAAACAACTAGAGCAGGAGGGCCCAAAAAATGGGAGTGTAAGCCTGAGCAGTGGATGCAAATACAGTGGGTATGGAAAGTCCTAACCACTTCGCAAATACACTCACCTAAAGCATTATGCGGAACACCTGTTCAACTTCTCCTTAATGCAGTTATCTAATCAACCAATCACATGACAGTTGCTTCAATGCATTTGGGGTGTGGTCCTAGTCAAGACAATCTCCTGAACTCCAAAGTGAATGTCAGAATGGGAAAGAAAGGTGATTTAAGTAATTTTGAGCGTGGCATGGTTGTTGGTGCCAGACGGGCCGGTCTGAGTATTTCACAAACTGCTCAGTTACTGGGATTTACACCCACAACCATTTCTAGGGTTTAAGAAGAATGGTGAAAAGGCAAAAACTTCCAGTATGCGGTAGTCCTGTGGGCGAAAATGCCTTGTTGATGCTAGAGGTCAGAGGAGAATGGGCCAACTGATTCAAGCTGATAGAAGAGCAACTTTGACTGAAATAACCACTCGTTACAACAGAGGAATGCAGCAAAGCATTTGTGAAGCCACAACACACACAGCCTTGACGCGGGTGGGCTACAACAGCAGAAGACCCCACCGGGTACCACTCATCTCCACTAGAAATAGGAAAAAGAGGCCACAATTTGCACGAGCTCACCAAACTTGGACAGTTGAAGACTGGAAAAATGTTGCCTGGTCTGACGAGTCTCGATTTCTGTTGAGACATTCAAATGGTAGAGTCAGAATTTGGCGCAAACAGAATAAGAAAATGGATCCATCATGCCTTGTTACCACTGTGCAGGCCGGTGGTGGTGGTGTAATGGTGTGGTGGGTGTTTTCTTGGCACACTTTAGGTCCCTTAGTGCCAAATGGTCATCATTTAAATGCCACGGGCTATCTGAGCATTGTTTCTGACCATGTCCATCCCTTCATGACCACCATGTACCCATCTTCTGATGGATACTTCCAGCAGGATAATGCACCATGTCATAAAGCTCCAATCATTTCAAATTGGTTTCTTATGTGTGTGTGTGTGTGTGTGTGTGTGTGTGTGTGTGTGTGTGTGTGTGTGTGTGTATATATATATATATATACACACATATATATATGTATGATCCCCTTTGTATATATATATATAAAGGGGATCCTTTTTGGTGGCCTAACGATCGAGTCTCTGTTTTTGCAGATGATGTAGTCCTGCTGGCTTCAACAAAACGTGATAGCCGGTGTCAGTACAAGATCTGCTCGGGTGCAAGATCGGCTCGGGGTCTGTCGACTGCCGGTGACGTCAAAGTAGATGATTGGCTGAACATGAACCTTACGGAATTATGTAATCACGTTACATTGTTATCACGTTACGTTGTTATCACGTTACCTTGGTCCAGGTATATTTTTCTGTTGGAAAGATGGACAACTTTTACAAAGAAATCCATCATTACCTCTTTGTAAATACACTTTTAGCGTAGAGCTGCATGTATATTAGGGCTGAACGATTAACTGCATGTTCAATTAAATTGCGATGTGACAAAAGGAGATTTTCTAATCGCAAAGGCTGCAATTTGGCAGCGAGTGGTTAGCGCAATGCTAATATACATGCAAAAACCCATAGGAATGCTAATGCTAATATCACTGATTACATTCTTTCAAATTATGAATTAGAAACGTGCCAAATAATTACATTTGGAGTCTAATAGAAAGTAAAACTACCATCAATCAAATAAGTACAGACAGGTATTTTAGTAAAGCCAGAAAACTTTTAACTCCAGAGTTTTGGCTAGCAGCTATGAGCGTACCTGAACTACGCATGGACAAGACGTCAAAAACTCTAAACACAAAATACTTCAATAAACGGGACACACTTCTTTCCTGCAAATACAATTTCACAGGTGTTGCTCATACCTATGATCCTTCAAGGGATGTGCTCAAAGAGGAGTTCAACATTATGAATACAATATAGTGTTTTATTTTACAAATACCATTATAAACACAAACTTACGTCTTAAGAAACATTTTAATAACGAAACTGCTAAATTCTTTCCAACAGTATAGATGTGAAGTGTATTTTGTCCGAGTGGGTTTGCCGTACTTTGACGTCATCGACAGTCGAAGGACCCTGAGCCGATCTTGCACCCGAGCAGATCCTGTACCGACACCGGCTCTCATTGAAGAAGTTCACAGCCGAGTGTGAAGCAGCTGGGATGAGAATCAGCTCTTATAAATCTGAGACCACGATCTTGAGTTGGAAAAGGGTAGAATGCCTTCTCCAGGTCAGGGATGAGGATCTTGCCCCAAGTGGAGGAGTTTCAGTATCTCTGGGTTTTGTTCACGAGTGAGGGAAAGCTGGAGAGTAAGATCGACAGGCGGACTGGTGCTGCGTCTGAAGTGATGCGGGCATTGTACCGATCTGTCTTGGTGAAGAGAGCTGCGCCAGAAGGCAAAGCTCTAGATTTACCAGTCAACACGTTCCTTGCTCACAAGCTTTGGGTAGTGACCAAAAGAATGAGATTGTGGATACAACCAGCGAAAATTATTTTTTGCCGCAGAATGTCTGGGCTCTCCTTTAGAGATAGGGTGAGACGCTCAATCATCCGGGAGGGGCTCGGAGTAGACCTGCTGCTCCTCCACATTGAGAGGAGCCAGTTGAAACAAATAAACAATAATAACTCTAAAATCAGACATTGTATTTCAGCAATAGCTTACACAGTATTCCAGTAATAACCTGTTCAATGTACCAAATGACATTTAACCTGACTATCTGAGCCAC